TATTAGCACCTTTAACTTTTAACTGTTCTGGCAGTGGAAAGATTAGATAAATATTCATAGGTAAAGGAGAATTCACTATTTAGGTACAAAGATTTATGGTACCCAATGACATATAGACAGACAGACAGACAGACAGAAAAAATATGCTAGAGGTAGTATACAGTGGCCACCCAATGGCCAGAGAAAGAAGATGCTGGTTGAGGAGAAAAAGGATCCAAGAGCATGGAGGCAGCAATTGGAAGTGTGGATCTGTCATCACTGGAGGAGGGCAAACTAGGTGGTAAATTTGCAATAGACATGTAACTTTCTTTTTGTTTTGAATGGATGTTCGGAAGCATCCAAATTTCTGCATTTGAACACGTCCGAATGGGAACGAATATGAATTTCGTTCAAGACTAAACTAAATCGGACATGCAACTGTTCTCTGGCCTATCAGATTTCCTGGGGCACAGTCATATGACTTCCTCTTGTGGATCTTTCCAAAATGAAAATTCGGATGGATACAAAATCCGAACAACAAACCGAATTTAAATTTGGATCCGAAATTCAAAAAACTAAAAAGAAATAATATCTGAATCTCGACACAAAACAAATTTATTATATGAGGTTACATGTCTAATTTGCAATAGTGACAATGGGCATTATGGCATATTCTCGTTTCCATGAAAGTGATGGGTAGACAGTGTAGTAAGTACAAGTAAACAGTAGTCGATGGTTGTGGCTGTGGTCACAATGGTGGCTGTGCCAATTTTAGGGTCAGTAAAGGTGAAGGTAGACAAGGAGCACTTGATGCCAATTCTTCTGTTATTTATTTGAATGATAATAGTTATGATATAACTGACTTGGGTTCGGGTGGGTGTGAAGATGTAGTGGTGGATAGGGTATAGTAACTGGTACAGGGTAACAAAAAGGAGACAGTGCTTCTTCTAAAGTGTACAACTCTGTGACCAATAGTGCTGCCCTTGCCTCTCTGCAAAAGTTTTAGCTGTGAACAACTTTGGTGTTTTGGGGAATCTTGATTCTTGATGTTTTTCTCAATATTTTTAGCAACCATCTACAGTATATTGGAAACATGTCTAATGAAAGGCAAGGTTGTGGGTATTTAGGAATACATTTTGGAAACTTCTACTCTCACAAAGCAGATTGCCTATCCTCTTCCACCACCTAGTTATCAATGTGGGTACTTTTCAATATCCCAAAGTGCATCATCATTATTCACTACTGTTGCCTACAATTCCCAGATATTCACTGTCAGACAGTTCCCAAGGAAATGCTGCAGAAATGGATGTCTCCTCTTCTCTGTTAGTCTCTCACCCATTAATATCAAGAGTATATTGCTCATCTTGTTAGTCCTACTCCTTCAATTGCAGACTAGGAAAAGAAAAGATATACACATGCCAACATGTCACGCACCCAGCCTAAATGATGGTAGGGCAATCATAGCTGCATTCGCTTTTCAAAGTCCTCCAAACACTACTCAAAACCAACCCAACACCACTCTACAGACTACAGATATCCTCTTCTCTAGCTCGTCTTCTCCTGCTCTCCTTTATGGTCCACTCCCCCCATAGTTTTTGATGAAGCCACACACACCACTTAATTGAAGCTAAAATCAATCCTATTTTCCAAGCACCAGAACTATTAAACACTACACCCAGTAGCCTTTCTCCAACATGTTTCAGTGTGTAGGGCTTAATCATAGGGTTAAGTGCACTTATAGAGTACCTTCCTAAAACTGCCACAAAAGGCCATGGTGAACTCAGAACCCAGACATTTCTTATTCTTTTCCAGGCCTTCTCTTACTTCCTATCAAAAGAGTATGATCTGCTATGACCTGCTGCCATGCTGTATTGCATTTAACAAGCTTGGAAGACTGAAGCATGTGCAATTGTGCAATGACTGCAAATTGGTATCTCAGCTTGGCATTGATCATTAGATTAGTGGTACAGAAAATTCTGTGTTTGGAAAAAAAATGTAAATGTCCAAGACCACTTTAACAGATTTGTCACTGTTAAAATACTTTATTTTGCAATATAATAATAATCTTACCTTTCAACATTTGCAGTGTTGCAAAACTATGGAATTTCACACTGTTATGGTCTAAATGCCAATATGAACAACAAAAGTGGTCCATAATAATTTTAGGCACCAAATCAGCTTCTATCTTCAGTTTGTTGAGTTAAGATTTGAAAATTAAAGAGAGAAGCTGGTTGGTTGTCATGGGCAACTTTTCCGGATTCTGTCTGCTCCAGTTTTGATTACTTCCCCCGTTTGTGTGTTGACAATGCAGCTGATGAGGGATGCATATTGCCTACTAGTGCCCAGTGAATAGGAGACCAGCTTTTTCATTATTGACAATATTCAATATAGACAACACTCGTTGCCACTGGCAGTGATTTCAGCTAAGAGTGTGGAATTGTTCAAGAAGCTTTTGGATGATTTCCTAAGGGACCGTAATATATAGGGGTACAGGAACTATTAAAAATGCGATCACACAGGGACCCTTTACATTAGACATGTGCGAAATTCCGTTGACGTATTTTCGTTCCGTTACAAACATTCGTTATATTGAAGGTAAAAAGCAAAGTACATTTATATTGGAGTTGATGGTAGTTTTTTTTAAAGTCCGAAATACGGAATTCGGAGTACGGAATCCGTTAACGGAATTCGTATTTCGTTTTGGTTGACCAATCAGAGGTTCTCTTCTGCTGCTGAGAGTTGCATTACAAATACAGGCAGGAAATACGAAATTCCGTTGACGTATTTTCGTTCCGTTACGAACATTCGTTTTATATTGAAGTTAAAAAGCAAAGTACATTTATATTGGAGTTGAAGGTATTTTTTTTTAAAAATCCGTTAACGGAAATCGGATACGGAATCCGTTAACGGAATTCGTATTTCGTTTTGGTTGACCAATCAGAGGTTCTCTTCTGCTGCTGAGAGTTGCATTACAATACAAGCAGGAAATACGAAATTCCGTTTACGTATTTTCGTTCCGTTACGAACATTCGTTATATTGAAGTTAAAAAGCAAAATACCTTTGTTAATATATTGGAGTTGATTGATGGTAGTTTTTTTTTTTTTATCCGAAATACTAAATTCGGATCCGGAATCCGTTAACGGAATTTGTATTTCGGATAAAAAAAGCAACTACCACTCCAATATTAACAAAGGTATTTTGCTTTTTAACTTCATCATAACGAATGTTCGTAAAGTTACGAAAATATAACCGCCAGTAACGAAAATTCGTATTCCGTACGAATCGGAATCCGAATTGAGTTCAGTTACGAATTACGGAATACGAAATAACGGATATTCTGAAACGAAACAGAACGGCGCACAAGTCTACTTTACATACGCACACATCAGTAGAACTAGGGTTGCACAGATACCAAGTACAGTACTTGGTACAAGTACGAGTACATGTACCGATAATTCTGAGCTCCAAGACTAGACTAGAGAAAAATTCAAAAATTAGGAGGCAGCTGTCATTTGTAAGGAGCACAAGGAGCTCCTGGGATTTGTACATCTCTGTTTTAATGTACAATTTAGTTTTTAAAAAATATAAATAAAGGGATGCACAGATACCAGTTTTGCGAGTACGAGTACTGGTACTTGCCGAGTACTTACAAGTACGAGTACTGATACATTTTTGTTCATTGTCATGTGACAGTTTTTCTAAACCAATACAGACTAATGATTTCAGGACCGTGGTGGAGTGCCAGAGCTAGGTCCCAGCTGCAACCGCTGCAACCCTGGAAAATGCCAAGTATCTGCACTGGTATTCGAAAAGTATCTGTGCATCCCTAAGTAGAACCATATACATGCACACAACAGGTTGGACTTGATGGACTTATGTCTTTATTCAACCTCAAATACCATGTAACATTAGAGAAAGTGCTGGCATGCTGCGCTGACCCTGCAGAAAGATGAGTAAGAAGATCAGGGTTAGCGTCAACAGCCACTATTTTACTGTTCAGTCCTTTACTGAGGATTGTGGCACAGGAGGAACTAAAAAAACGTAGAGAGTCATCATTTCATAGTTTTTGATGTGTTTTTGCCTTTTCTACCTTGTCTAGCAGATGGTCCATTGGTGACACTGGCAATGAAGATGACAACAATTAAGAAATATAATTCGAGGCAGATAACAATGTGTCTGGATTCAGACAGACTGGCAAGCATGGGAATCTTTATGGTTGATGATTTTTCAAGTACACTAAAAGGGATGACAAATAAAGATATTTTTGAATAACCCCCTGCTCCCAGCTTGTAGCTGTTTTTCTAAGCAATTGCATCTTAGACTTAGTTCTCAGGATAAAACTCCTTTCTGCCCTTGCTTCATAGTCGCACCAGCCCTTCTAATATATTAGCTTGCTTTCATGTTTTTCATGTAGAATTTAGGAACATATAACCTATACTAGACCAATTACAATTAAAATATTACCTTTCCAAAAATAAATAAATTTAAGAGAGTTACCTAATTAGCCTTAACTTAAACCATTAAACGTAAACCCTCAACTTAATCAATAACCAAATCCTACCCTTTAATATTAAACCTAAACCTCAGGTGAAATGTATATTATGGTGATAAATAATACAATGGCTACAAGTACTGTCACTGTAATACTAGTGGCAATTACACTGTCTCATGAAAAATGTCATGTAGGTAAATTTTCGGCATATATTTACAATGTTCCTCTCCTTGTGAAAATTAAATGATCCAGACATATTTGTCTCTTTCAGTATTGGCAGAAGCAGAAGTGCCAGAGCAGTAGGAACTTAATCTTACTACACACAAGGGATTCTTTTTCCAGCAGTAGCCCCATGCAGCCATACAGAAGCTTCATCTAAAGGAAACACTTTTCAAAGCTAACTTATGTGTTGTTAGTTTGTTGTATGGTGTTATAATGGCATTATTATTAGTTTCAGGTTCTCTGTTAGAACAAAAAAATATTGCTGCTAATTTACATTGTTTTGCTTCATTAACAGGATGGCCAAAATAGTCCAGACTCTGAACAATACTTATGTGAGATAGACAAGATCTCATTAACCCCAGCAGAGTCTTGGGACAGCTGGCTAAAAGAAGAAAGCAACCCAGGTAAATCACAAACTTTTATATTGAAAGTGAGTCTAAATATGCTGCTTTGCAAGCGATGGCCTGTAAAAACTGCTCATTTTCAACATAATTGTAAAACTGGCAAAAGTCTTTGTGCAGTGATACTGACCTTTAGCTAACAATGTTTTCTTCAAAATGTAATGTTCTCACATTTTTTTTTCACGAAACATACAATAATATGGTTTTTATTTATTTGTGCTTTTTCACTGCAGCTCTAAATTAATAAGTCACATAGCTACTGCAATTCACCATTTTATTTGCAGGATAAATTAGGTTTTCTGAGAGAATTGTTTTTTTTTCTTTCTATCTGGAGCTGGTGAAAGACTCCAATGATGACTTAGTGAAGCTGTCTTAAATTGGAGATTTAGAAAGTGTAGCGTATCGTTATCAGAAGCGTTCTGTACATTTGGACTAGAAATCCAGCTAGATAACATAAAATCTAGATGTCTCTACTGATTTTATATCATATTATTGGTGACCTTATAAATTAAGGGAATGCATATTGAGTTTGTGTATATTTTTTTTATGTCAGGACTAAAAAAAAAAAATTTAAAATCTATTTTTTTTTCATAACCCCTCATGGCTGATCATTGTAGGTAAAATGGTACTCAGGTGACCTATTCTTGGATGTATTAAACTTCCCTTGTTTGCGCTGCGCATGGATGTGCCTTGAGCTAACAATGCCAGTGATTTTGTTGCCATTAGAAAAGTAAATCTAAGAGCCCATCAGATTGGCACTGTGCCACACGATCACTTTAAACCAATCACAGCAACCATAGTTGTAAACACTGATGTAGTAAGCAAACATCAAGCCATCCCCCTTCCTATTACATCAGCTGGTGTGTTTCAAATGCTGCTTTATGCATTGACATACCTCCATCAGATCTTGATTTTTCTGGGCGGTATGGTCACCTGCTGATTTAGCACAATCAACAGTCAGCTTAACTCTCTAATAAGACCCAGAAGTGTAATCCAATGCAGTTATGCCTCTCAGAGCACAGTACAGAGCATGTTTTTGTACTCACTTCATGTGTAAAAAGACCATGTCTGCTATAAAGAGTTAAGACTAACTGAGGGAACATGGAGAAAAGGGAAGGCTCTATTTAAGACTGAACTAACAAACTATCAACAAGAGGGTGGACTGAGGAACAAGTACACACAATAACAAGTTGCTGTGTCACTGCACCACCACCAGGTGTCAGTATAGATCAGAGTATGAATTACATTAATGCCGTACATAACAGTAGCAGAAAATACATAATAATAGGTAAGAGAACACTCCCCACCTGAAATCTTTAGATGTCACCCTAACATAACACAAACATAAGTCAATGAACATGGATGACTTTGCCTCATTATACTTGAATCTAAAAGACACAAAAGTGGGGAGATCATGCAAACACATACATAGGTTCATAGAAAGAACAAAAAGTCTCAGATGAATCTTGAAATAAACATCTTTGAGTCAAAGAGGCCGCACGTTGTCAAACCTCAACTAACTCAATTTGTAATTCTCAGGATGAACAAAATACAGTAGTTAATGTTGGCCAGTTAAGTCTTTGATATTGTGATTTTGAGACCTTTTGGTACAGACCATGTGGACATCAGGTCACCCCTTCAAGGATGGCAGAACTTGCATGGTCCTTCATATAGTAGGATATTTGATTGAAGAAGCCTCCTGACAAATCCAGGAGACTATTTCCAGCTTGCACACGTAGAGGTGCACTTGCCTGATAATAGAAGTAGATGACTCTGATGAACTTCCTAGGCAGTTCTTATTGGCAGGGTTCTTGGCGTGACACTTGAGCTTGCAGCTGTATCAGTTTTGGCCTTGATGGATAAAAATGTAGCTACAGATTACAGATAGTTACAACTTAGGTCAAGATTCTATAGGAGGAATATAGAACCAATGTCTTTAGAGTTCTTGTTCTTCAAAATTTCCACCTGGAATCCACCAAGTCTATCATAGCCTCCCTCCACCAGGAAGCCTTTCTAACTTTGGTGGACATCAACGATGCATACATGTATGTCTCCATCTTTCCAGTGCAATAAATGTTATTTCCATTTTCCTGTGGACACTCAACATTTTCCTGTGGACACTCAACCAGTTTGTAGTCCTACTAGTCAGCATATCACCTGAGGTTCTGTCCCCTGTGCTAGCCTTACTAGGGTATTCCTTAGACATGTGCGATTCGTTTCATTCCGAATCAAAATTCGGACGAAATTTTGGAAATTCGGATGTATCCGAATTACAGATATAACGAATGCAAACGAATCGGAATTTCCGATTCCAAATTTCCAATTCGGTTTTTTTTGCACAAAATTTCGTTGCAGCAAAGTGACATTTGAAAACAAAAAAACTTTTTTTCCCTCTTAAATGTCACTTTGCTGCAACGAACGAAACAACAACGAAACAAAAACAAAAATACATTTTGTACGTATTTCCGCTAACAAATTTCGTCCAAATCCGAATTCCAAAACGAATTGACTTTCGTACCCGAATTCCGAAAAATTAAATAAACCAAATTTCGAATCAAAACGAAACTAAACAAATTTTTTGCTGGTGCACATGTCTAGCATTCCATAAAACAGAAGTCATCAACTTGCGCAACTAGAACGATTGTAGCGTTACAGGCGAGATGTTTTTTTTATATCCTGTAAGTGCATTACTTTTAACCTTATTAAATAGTCACTTTATACTGCACTTAGATCGGTGTGCCGGTTTCCTATGTTTTCTTCACAGTATTCCTATTGTGGGATGCCTAGATAAGTCCACTCAAACTCTGACCGTCAATGTTGTTGGAAATGCAACAACATATACTGTATATGATTGTATTCCTTGTGTAATTATGTCTTTTGAGCTGTAGATGGTGCTGTATTGCAATGTTAGTCTCTTTGCTTATGCATGTTTAGCTATGATATATACAGGAAGTTCTCTCTGTATGCTGTATTCACATGTAATGTCCTTGTAAGCAAGTAAAACTTGATTCGGCATTGCTCAAGATCTCAGTGCTTCATCTAAAATACATAACAAACAGGTTATGGGCCCAGGCACTAAACAGAATACTGCAAGTCAACAAGAGCCGCATCCAAGCTACTGAAAGAGTGCAAGCAGTGCAGATTTGGAGTTTGCAACCGCAAAGATCAACAATAACAACTACCTGCTATGGAAGTTCAAGCTTGAAATGCTGCTAAGCAAAGATGACTTGTGGCAAGTAATGAGTACAGACAGACCCAGTAATAGACCCCCGGAGAAATGGGACAAGAAGAACAGGCAAGCAAAAGCAATTATAAGTCTGTCAGATGAAGATGACCAGCGTATCCACATAAGAAAATAATATACAACTAAAAAGGTATGTGGACTGCATTACAAAACTGCATGAGAGTTCAAACCTAAACAGTAAACTATATCTGCTACGCAAACTATAGAAGATGAGCCTAGAAAAAGACCAGGAAATGCGTGAATATGTGAATGCCATGCTGGAAATCGTAGAACAGCTATGTGCAATTGGAGAGGAAATTAAAGATAACCAAGTTGTGGCATTACTGCTATGCAGCCTTCCAGAGTAATGCAGTGCTCTTATTAGCACTCTAGAAACCAGACCTGAGCAGGAACTAACACTAGAATACACCAAAAGAAAATGAATAAATGAATATGAGAGAAGGAAAGAAAATATGCACAATGAAGAAAACGGGTGAGTCCTTAAGGCCCATGAGAGCACAAAGCAAATCAAAATAAAGCAGAGCATGTTTTCGCTGTAAAAAGACTGGTCATCTCAAAAAGGACTGTTTGATCTTGAAAGCCAAGCAGCGAAAGAGAGAGGCACCCACAAGAAAAAGAGCTAAGGCAGTCACAAAGAAAACTGCAGGCACATCATGGAGTGCTACCTTTAAAGTGATTTAAAACCGTATACCACGCGTATGGTGTATTGACTTACATGACTAGTGATGAGACCTTCTTCACAGAAATTGATTTCAGTGCAAAGGACAGTATTTTGAGCAAGCGGGAAAAGTATTACTGCAGAAGGTAACGGTCAAGGATCCTTGAACTGTATCACACTGTCAGGGGACAAACAGTATCCTTGTGAAAAATGTACTGTATGTTCCAGACCTAGAAGGAAGCCTTCTATCAGTGGAAACCATTGCTAATAAGGGTCTCACAGTTCAATTCCGAGGTGATGAATGTACAGTTCGAAACAAGCAAATCCTCGCAAAAAGAAAATTGGATGAACACCTGTACAGACTCATCACCGCAGACGAACAAGTCAAGACAGCCACTCATAATCCACTTATGGCACAGATGACTAGGGCACTGAAACCCAGATGCCATAAAATACATCATAAAGAGAGGCTTATCAGAAAGTATAATCGTATTGCCTTGCCAAATGCTCATGACATGAAAATGCTATACAGAAGCAAAGGCCACACATATTTCCACAGGCCACTCAAAGAAAGACCACCCACCCATGGAGCTCATACACAGCGATGTGTGCGGACCAATAAAAACTCCCACATAAGGCGGCAACAGATGATATCTACTAACTTTCATTGATGATTATTCCAGGTACACAACAACTTATTTGATGAAGTGCAAGAATGAAACATCAAAGAAACTTCAAGATTTTGTAGCCATCCAGCAAAAAAATTCACCAGAAACCAGGAATTGTACGCACCGACAAGAGGGGAATACATCAGTAAGGAAATTTAATCATATCTAAAGACACGGGGTATAGTACACAAGACCACCACACCATACACTCCTGAACAAAATGTTGTAGCAGAACGGAAAAATCTAACTCTTATAGAAATGGACAGTTGCATGCTGTCAGATGCCAACCTACCTAAGAAGTACTGGGGAGAAGCAGTCATGACTGCAACATACCTACAAAACAGACTACCATCAAAAGCCATTGAAAGCACCCCATTTGAAATGTGGCATGGATCAAAACCTAGCCTAGGGCACATCAGATTGTTTGGATTTAAAGCTTATGCCTATATTCCAAACGAAAGCGATCCAAATTGGAGAACACAGCCATTGAAGGTATTCTTGTAGGCTACAGTAAACAAAGGAAGGGATACAGAATCCTCCATCCAAAGACTGACAAAGTGACAATAAGCCACATTGTTTATTTCAATGAGAGCCCATAACCAGAAACAATGATCCTGCGATGTTGTGAAGTGAATTCACCCAGTAAACCAGCAAAGGAAGCTGAGCAAAATGAGTCAGAACAAGAGGTGGAACTCACAATGGATAAGTTAAATTCCATGTTAAATTCTGCTGAACAACCTGAAATTAGAAGATCCACTTAGAAAACAAAGGGAATACCACTCTGCAAGCTGTCATATACTCCTAAGACACATAGCATACTCGAACCAACATTGTGGGAAGACATAGAACAATTACCAAAATGCAAAGCCAATTGATGGAGAGAGGCAGTAGAAGAAGAAATAAAATTGATCCAAGAAAAGAAAACCTGGACACTTAGGGAGCTTCTCCCCGATCGCAAAATTATAGGAAGCAAATTAACTTTTAAGGTGAAGCTTGATGTATTAGTGGATATTTTCTTCTGCAAGGCCAGATTAGTTGCCAAGGGATACCCACAAAAATTTGGAGAAGACTACGACAAAACATTTGCTCCTGTTGTAAAACAATCCACCATCAGAACACTCCTTAGCGTTGCAGCAGGGTAGAGCATGCGAGTGAAAAACCTAGACATTAAAACTGCTTTCTTATATGGAGATATTAAGGAAGATCTCTAAATAGAGCAATCACCAGGGTTTGCGCAAAGACACAACCTCGTGTGTAAACTTCAAAAGAGCAGTTACGGACACAAGCAATCTTCAAGATTGTAAAATGAGAAAGTGAATGGAATACTCAAGAAAGAGGGATTCTGAAAGAAACAAAGTAGATCCCTGTTTTTATTCCAGAAATCAAGATGATGGATAGATATACATTCTAAATTATGTTGATGGCATAACCTGTTTTGAACAAGAAGGGGACTACAATCAAAAAGTTTACAAACTAAAACCAAACTTTGAAATTAAAGAGCCTGGAAATATCGCTCACTCTCTTGGAATTCAAATAGAGAGAGTAGAAGAAGATGGAAGCTATCTTCTCAACCAAAGTCAGAAAACTGAAGAAATTCTGGAACACTTCCACACACAAAATGCAATGGAAATAAAAAACACCTATGGAACCAGGCTACCAAAAGAGCAATGAAGCAGAAAACGTGCTACCCAACAATGACATGTTCCCGCCGAGCAACCGGAAAGCTACTACACATTGCCACTGTGACAAGTCCAGACTTAGCGGCATCGGTGGGCATACTCTAGAAAAGTCGCAGCACCCTGTCGGCATAACTGGAATGCAGTAAAGAGGGTAATGCAATATTTAAAAGGAACAATACCGATGAAGCTATGACTGCCTGCAACATCAAATCCAAAACTAGTTGGATGCTGATTGGGCCAGAGACTGCACATCGTGCAAATCTACAGGTGGTTACATCTTCCAATATGGGGACGGAACCATAAGTTGGTCTAACAGAAAGCAAACAACTGTTGCACTTTTCTCAACTGAAGGTGAATACATAGCAGCAGCGCATGCTTGTCAAGAATCAATATGGATTCGCCAGCTTTTAATGGACATAGACATGTGAAACTCCTTCCAAATCTTTGGAGATAACCAGGGAGCTGGCACTATCAGAAAGAGTCAACCCTAGAACCAAGCATATCGACATTTAGCATCATCTGCTTAGGGACACTCAAGAGCATGCCATTATTGACTTGCAATATTGCTCATCAGAAGAAATGACTGCAGATGCATTTACCAAGCCACTGCCAAAAATCATCACAGTTTCTTTTGAAAGAAGCTACACATAGTATAGCAACGCATATGCTGTTGAGAAGGGGTGTTAGGAAATGCAACAGCATATATATGATTGTTAGACATGTGCGATTCGTTTAGTTCCGAATCGAAATTTGGACGAAATTTTGGAGATTCGGATGTATACGAATTACAGATATAACGAATGCAAACGAATCCGAAATTCCAATTCCAAATTTCCGATTCGTTTTTTTTGGATGAACTTTTGTTTTTTGGACGAAATTTCATTGCAGCAAAGTGACATTTCAGAACAAAAAAAAACGTTTTTTTACTCTTAAATGTCACTTTGCTGCAACGAACGAACCAAACAAAATTTCGTACGGATTACTGCTAACGAATTTCGTCCGAATTCCAAAACGAATTGACTTTCGGACCCGAATTCCGAAAAACGGAATAAAGCAAAATCCGAATGAAAATGAAACAAAACGAAACAAATTTTTTGCTGGTGCACATGTCTAATGATTGTATTACTTGGGTAATTATGTCTTTTGAGCTGGCATTGTAGTGCAATGTTAGTCTCTATTCTTATGCATGTATATCTATGATATATACAAGACGTTCTTTGTATGCTGTATAATACTGTATTCACATGTAATGTCCTTGTAAGCAAGTAAAACTTAAGTCAGCATACCTCAAAATTTCGGTGCTTCATCTAAACACTTAACCAACAAATGTGACATGAACAATCCAGACCATTACAAGGTTCAGTTTGAATTCAAAACCTACAAAAAACAGTGCTGAAACTCGCATATTACTTAAACCATCTAGGGCTCATTCTAGACACGTCTCATCCCTAATTAAAGCTTTAGATATGCCATTATCAGACCCGTGGACTACATTCCAGAAGCTGTTCAAATCTGTGACTTTGCATTAGAGTTGTGGGGTTGATGGTTGCATACTTTGAAGCTGTTCCATTTGCTTAGCTCCAGTTCAGACCCCTACAACAAAACATTCTGTCATCATTGGACAAATTGGTTCAGTCTATAGGTAAACCTATTTATGTGACAGCCAGGACCAGGTTGTTTGCGGCCTGGTTGCTCAGGGGTCCAGCTCTAGATTTGGAAAAATCCTTCCTCCAACTGTCATTAAAGATTAGCAGTATGGATGCCAGCCCATGTGCGACACCCCACCGTGCGTCAATCATGCACGATTCCATGCAGATTGCCGCACGGTCAGGAGTCGTATAGGTGTGCACCAATCGCGCTGTGGGTGCCATTATTTTCCAATGGCACCCCAGTCACGCCAAATGGATCGTGTGGTTTCCCGGCGCGATTCCGCTCGTGCTTCTGAACACGATCGTGGCTAAAACAGCCGCGTGTCGTGTATCGCAGAAAAAAGGTACTTTAACAAGAAAATAGCTTTGAAACAACGGTGGCATTTTTCATTCATAAAGATCCTATATACTGCAGGTAAGATTTGTATCCACTCCATTAATAACTGTGAATATTTTAATTAACAATCACATACTATGTTATCATTTCTCTATTAAGTATTTTAATTAATACATTCAACCATTATGGATTCTAGGCCTGCAATAATTATGCATAGACTTGTAGAATTATTCAGCGTAACCTTAACTTTTCCACTTTTTAACATTTTTCCCCCAGCATCCCCTCCACAACCTCCTTTGTTAGGAGATCCATTGATTCCTTTGTTACCAATCCCTGCTGAGTTCTTCCATCCTGCCATCCCTACTACAGAAAAGGATCCAGAGGATCTGGCACTCCAAAAAAGTATCCCTAAACTTTCTTCTCCTGAGTCTTGGGCTACTCTTCATTCCCCAGATGTCAAATGTTCACTTCATAGACAGGTAAGGTTACTTTCCAGCAAGTGGTACTTTTTGCTGAGAAAATAGAAATAAAAATATTGTATATGAATTAATCTGAACATGGTTTATCAAAATGGGAATATGTTATACATGTTTGTATGTGCTTGAGTGTGTTCAAAGTCTAATTCTAAACAAACAAAAACATTTCTGGTGTCACCACAATTATCAGATCACCTGATATCCTTATGTGAAATGTATTTATTATCTGTCTATTCCAGGGTTTCATATTTGGAATTATTTGCCATTTTCTACATTGACAGCCAATGTAGAACATCAGGGGAATGTCTGTGGTCACTGTGTGCATAACCACCTAATAGTTATAACAATAAAGCACCCGATACACCCCTATCTCTTCTCTACAGCTACACCCCCATCTCTTCTCTACAGCTACATTACATTTATAAACCATATAGAGGCGATACCTAGTAGGTAGGTCATGTTTTTCTGAATCCCTTCCCCTCTTTGGACCAAAGCTTGAATCATCCTGCAGCCAAACACCTTATGAGGAGCCAATTCTTAAAAAGATAAAAGGACTAAGTAAAATGTGAAAATAAATATGTGGTTGGCATTTTGAGAAAGAAGTCCATATGCATTATATAGAATTTTCTGATGGATGCAGTTCAGTTTTAAGCCTACTTTGTGGTTTATTAATGCTATAATCTCCCTTTTCCCCCAGCCAACAGAAAGCAATTCATCAATGGAAAGTGGAAGTGCAAGTTCTGAGGACAGCTTACAGACTACTCTTGAGGATAGCTTGAATCTAAGCGACTCTCCGCAGTGCACCATGGACCTCCCTGATCTGCGTGTATCTCCTACAACCCATCATACTACCCTTCCTATATCTTCTCTTTCAATTATGCAGAGGAGGAGCAACCGTCCTAGCTTTGCACTTCAGAAGGTTCGACGCCACCAACGGAGCCATAGCAGTGGTGGCAGCACTAGTCCTGGATGTACTCTTCATGACTCCATGGACCCTTCTGATGAAGAAGGTGCTGGTGGAAGTCTTAGAGGAACAAGTGAGCCTTCAGAGACTCTTAGTAGCTTATCATTAACATCTCTGTTTTCACCCCCACCCTCCTTAGCACCACCTGGGGGTGCCATAAAAAAATGCAGCAGCGTAAACAGTCTTTCTGTTGCCCCCTCTAGGGTAAGAGGAGCAAAGCAGTTTTACGCAGTCGATCCACAGGGCTTCCTTTCAATGCCATCATGGGTGATGGATTTTTACCAAACTTCTATTCCCTCAGAAAACCAAGAAAACCGTAGTAGTACTGGAAAACTGCCAACTGAAAGAGGGATACCTACTGGTAGTGTCTCAGGAAATGTGGCCTTTGGCAATAATAATAGGCGGAACAGATGAGATTTTGTTTTCTTTTATTAGGTGGGAGGCAGGTCATTTTCCTGGGATATGAATTCCTAACTCTGAAAACAGGAGAAATGGCCTTAAATCTCTCAAATTGACCAGCAGAAAATGCTATATTACCTCACTGTGTGAGCCAGCCAAGCAATGCAACTGAAGAGAGGAGAGGTTACGTTGGCTGAGCTCTCGGGCTCTATAGTGGAAGAACCGCTGTACTGTATCTAGCCTTTGGGGCTATTACATATAGTAAATAATATATATATATATATTATTTTATTTATATATATTTTATTTTTACTGTTGCTTGGGACTTCCTGACAGTTTGTAATATAAAAAGTATCTTTATGTGGCAATACAAATTATTTGGTGACGAGAGACAATTATCTTGTTTTTTGAAAATCCTTGTTCTTTCTGTCTAATGTACACATACAACAAACGGATTTTTATACTTAGCATTTTTGAAAGGAAGGTTAACATGAATGCCACATACAGCTCTTTGACAACTAAAGATCAAATATTGTTTAAACTATCTGAAGAGTCACAACACATAATTATGCTTCTATGTTGCCTCAAAATAACATGAAACTATGAAAAGCTTAACATCATGCTTAAACAGAAAAGTTTTCCTGTAGCACAAGATTAATGGAGGTATTGTAGATTCCTTAACCGCGTTTCACTGTGCAGGGTAAGAGGATCACCTTTCTACCTCAGATATGGTGAAGTGTGGTGTAAAAATCCCTGTTGTGGAGAATTAATTAATGAAGTCAGCTGCTTTGACTAATAACTAGCAGAAAACGTTTCCTTTTGCCCTGTTGTGAATAGCATATGGGTCATCCTCAACTTTTAAAGCAGCAGATATCCACTTGTTTATCGAAGAGCCGAGGTTTGATGTAGCATATGAGGACTATGTTAACATATGAATATTGAAGCAATAGCGTTTTTTTCTATTGTCCCGTACATGATCTGGATATTTGGTATGGGTCCTAAACTTAACCTCAGTCAGAATTGGCTATTATTGTGCTGGTGAAATTTGTTACAGCTTAGGCACCTGAGAAAAAGTTATGTCAAATAGATCAATGAATTGTAGCCGGTAATGCTGCTACCGTATTTGCTTAAATTATAAGTCTGAAAAAATATTAGCCCTGTTTAAATAAAGAAATGTCTGAAGTATCTTATAATTTTCCTTGACTACTCAAACAACTTTTGTAGATCAGATGTTGCTCAGCCATCTATTATTTTTAAAGTGACACTAAACTCAGGATTTAAAGCTTAAAAATACATTCAAGTTCCTTACCTATTAACAAAAATTTATTTTATATGTGTATCCCTTAGCTGTAGGTCCTCAAATCATCTCTGATTTCATGCTGACACTGTCCTTCCTTCTGGAGGGTGGCTACTTTTGTTCCCATGGTCCCTGTGTGTGTTGTCAAGTAGCCCCACTCCAAGCTTACTCCTGTGATGGACTACAATCTCACGTTTAGTTTACTTATTTGTATTGACATTATAATCCATCCTGAGGGAGAGCTAGGAGCGGTGGCTGTTTTACAACACACACAGGGACCATGGGGAGCAAAAGTAGCCACCCTCCAGAAGGAAGGACAGTGTCAGCACAAATTAAGAGATGGTTTCAGGTTTTAAAGCCAAGTGATACACAAACAAGCAACATTATTGTTAATAGTTAGGGTACTTGAAAGTATTTTTAAGATTTAACTCCTGGGTTTAGTATCACTTTAAGAGTGGGGCACAATTACCAAAGGGTCCCTAAAATGTAACTAATTCTTATAAGAACAAGATATCTTATAATCTGTTGATCCAAATTGATTACACCACATAACACAAAGTGCCCAAACAAAGAGCTGTATATCAGTATCACCAGCTATTGTTTTTATGAAATCTAGCAACTAACTTTCCAAGTGATAAGATCATGTTAAAGTTTATATGACGTTTTAGTGGTTTGGTTTACATCTGCTTTAACAAACTATGTCCGAGTTGCTGTAAATGTGCAACAAAATTGTGAAGCTCGGCAAGTCTGCAATAGTTTAGCAAGTCATTTTCAAACTTGCAGCTCAATTGCTAGCTATCTGGGAGTCCATCACGGGTGCGAGTTTTGAGCAGGGACCACGGGGAAGAAAAAGTAGCCACCCCCCAGAAGGAAAGACAGTGTCAGCACCAATTCAGAGATGATTTGAGGATCTACAGCTGAGTAATACACAAATAAGTTACATTTCTGTTAATAGTTAATGGACTTGAATGCATTTTTAAGATTTAACTCCTGCATTTAATGTCACTTTAAGTTTTCCCTTTTTTAGATGATAACTTTTAGCTTGGGGTGATAAGAGGGCAGTTGTTGCTCACAGTCTTTTTTAAGAGCTACTTTTTCACAGCACCTCCCTGCATCCTTTGTATATATAAAAACACTGAGCACCCAAAACACTGCACACCTTAACACCAGGTACACCACAACCCCGGAAATGCATGGTTTCGTTAAAATTGGCCAACACCCAGAACATATGAAAACATGACCATGTTGAATAGAATAAAATGTTGAAACACAAACAAGGCAAGTGTATTAACTCAAGTGTATCAGGTCAGAGATGCTGAAGAAACAAAATGACCAACAGGGGGCAGTTTTGTAAGCAGATTGAAAGGGCTTAGACATAAGGCAGCTGCTCTGTTACACTAAAAAAAAAAACAAACATACTTAAACAAAATGTAAGAACAGTGTGCACCCAAAACACTCCCCCCCCCCCCCACCGCACACACCACCCACACCCAACACCA